GTGGAGTCACCATCCCTGGAGGTGTTCAAAAGATGTATAGATGTGGTGCTTAGGGACATGGTTTAGTGGTGGGCTTGGCAGTGTTAGGATAATGGTTGGGGCTGATGATCTTAAAGGTCTTTTCCAACCAAAATGATTCTATGATTCTATGATCTGCCAACTGCTTCTTCCCTCACCTTCCCCCTATCAATTTAAGACCTAAAAGTAAGCAAGCAGGCTGAGCACTTGTTGGTTCTCCCGTACTCTCATGCCTTTGTGCCAACCTCCATCTAGATGGAGAGAATTAGCAAGTCTCTCCAGCAATAACAAGAGTGATGTTTGTGGCCCAAGAGTCAGAGCAGAAGGAACAGGCACAAGCAATTCTGTTGTGAACATGTTCAGAAAAATAAAGAGTATGAGGTGGAGGGGATGCAATGTTTCGTTGGCATAAGAGTGAGAAGTATAAAAGTTACTGATCATCCTACCTCGGCCTAGTCATTATATGGTGTTGCTACAAGCATTGTGGGAGAAGGAGGTTACTTCCTTTAATAAAAGACAGTGAATAGAAACAGCAACCAGAAAAGCTTTGTTAGTGTGTGGTGTACACATGGGGAAGCCTGTATTAGCTCACAGAGAAGAGCCTTGTCCCGTACTTGCTAAACAGCTTTGCATGTGAGTTTGGCAGCCTTGTGTACATGATCAACAGACAGCATAACACTAAGTTTCCCGGGTAACACAGTCTGGGGAATTCAACAACAGACATGGCTTTTCTGTGGGGCATAGGCAGTTGGATTGGTTCTGCATGGAGGTGCAGCAGGCCCTGGGCAGTGGTGTCTGCCCTCAGGTGTTGTCTTTGAATGCAGGCATGAAGCAGCAGAGACCATTTAGAACAGTGTAGACTATTTTTTTCCAACAGCTTGTGGGATACTCTGCAAAAATCAGACAGGTGGTATCTTGTTGGTGCCTCTGCTGTGTGACTTCCTTAGCCTGAGACCTTCCTCTGTGCTGGAGCTGTTACAGCAATGAACCCTGAAGTGTCTCACACACCACCTTTTGAGTTATCAGGCAATGGGGAACTTCTGCTCTCCTGTGCTACTGCTCAACACAGAGCATTCTCTTTCCTTCCAGCTTTACCAAAAATGATATTGTGGTACTAGGATCACAGCAAAATGTCTCTGAGGTAACATTTGGGAAAGGTTATGAACAGCCGCAGAACAGGTTAAGTAAAGCTCCTTTTCTGCTATGATATTCACCAATGCTCAGAGAATATCTGCAGTAAGAGATACACCAATAAAATCATATTTAGAAACTTTATGGGTGGACAGAGGAGATACCCAGTAGAGGGAACTAGGCTTGTCAGGTGGAGGTTGGAGATGATCCAAATGGCAATGCGCAGTGAGATATGGGAGTGGTTAGCCGGTAAAACAGGTGAGTGCTTTAGAGTCTCTCTGAATAGAAGATGGATGAGATTATGCAGAGCAAAGCAGCTGCTGCAGCTTCTCAGTGCTCCAGGTGAAAATTCGTCTCTGAGCAGCCAGTGATTCATCAATCAAGCTGACAGCAACTGATGTGGGTGGTTGGGGGAGGAGGGACCCTGGCAACCTGCTTGCATGGATTTCGAATTTAACAGTGGAGCTTTTCATTTCTAGATGACTGAGAGACACCTTGTGGAATGGGGGTACTTACTACTTCTCTTGCTTTTAACTATTTAAATTCTAGAGAAGAGATTCAGCTTGTGAAGTGCCCATTTAGAATGCAATATAGACTGTACTTTTGTGTGCTTGAGGCAGATGCAGCTGTATCTGGGTGTGGATAGCACTGATAATATGGTTCTCTGAATATTGGGAGGCTCAATGAAGCAAAACTTGGACATTTTCAATGCAGGCACTTCAAGTTACAGCCTGTGCCTAGCACCTGGAGATCACACTGTCCAGAAACCACTAGGTTAGACTAAAACCTGCTGTGTCTCAAGGAAAATTCATGTGTCTTTTTCATGCAGTTCTGGTGGACATCATAAGGAATATCTTGGCAGTCTGTTTGTAGCCCTGCTGACAGCCAACAATACATTTGTGGTTTGGGCTTATTTGGCTCAGACTGCAAGGAGATGGGTAAAAAAGAGAAAAAAATAAAAAATGTAACTCTAAACATTTTGTAGAAGCATAAACATGAGGCTGGTGAAGTCCTCGGTAGAGGTAATAAAAGGTCTGTCCTTTTAAGCAAAAAGATTGACCTAGCAAGGAGGATGGATGTTGGCGACATCAAGGGGTTGGGTTAACCTGAGGCTGAGTTGAAGGAGTGGAAGGATGAGAGGCTGATGTGGAGTGCTTTTTTCCCTCTGCACCTCCACTCTACAACAGGTAATCCTGCATGGTTACCATCACAAGGCCTTGTCTGTACTCGATTGTCCGCTTGCTCTAGCTGGCAGATATGTCCCATCACCACTAATTGAGGTCTGATGTATTTTGAAAGGTGTTCCAGGTGTGTGGCTTGTCTGGGAGTCAGATTTATAAAGTTTGGGAAAGGGTGTGGACCCAGGGGCACGTTGTCCAGGAATGACTGTCTGCAGGGGCAGGATGAGGGGGAAAGTAACAATTCCTGCCAGCCCTGCTGAGGGATTTCCAGGTCTGAGCTTTAGCAGGAGGGGGAAAGAGGAACGGCTGGGAAAGCGGATCAGGAATGGCTCTTTCAAGCTGGGGGTGTGTGCAATCTTTCCTGGAGGCTGTTTTTAGCTGCGGGTTCTGCCAAGTAGATCAGTCTCCTCCAACACCATGTGTTTTGTGCTCCAGATTCAGCTCACTGTGGTGGCTTTTGTCTTTCTCTTCAGGGGTAAAGCGCTGTCTCTCAGAGATGGAAGAAGGGGAAGTCAATCTGGAGAACAACTGCTCACCCTATTACCTCATTAGGCTGATCTACTCTTCCGAAAATTTTGACAAACTCGTGAACCTGAGCAAATACAACATCCTCAATAACAAAGACCTGCTCCTCCAGGCAATACGGAGTGCATTAGAGCGGAGGAGAAGCATCAGGACTGGGAATTTCCCCAGCCACTCTGGAGCTGGATACCCTTAGGCTGAGTTTTTGCACCGTTCCCCGCTGAAGGCTATGACAGTCACATTACAACACATCACAGTCACGTTATAACATGCCGCAGTCACATTCCAACACGTCCCAGTGTTAATTATTTGCAGGAAACTAAGGAAACCTGTACATTTCTCATCTTGCTTGTTGAAGTTCCTGGCTTTCAAAAGGGTTTATTTAGTCTCCTTCCCCCCAGGTTTTCAGACAACAAGAACCTCACACTTTGGTGTTACTTGTTAAGAAATTAGGGTGCTGGTTAGCAGAGACCTTCCAGGTTCTCCCTGGTGTTATAGAATATGGTGGTGGTGATAGTGATAATTCTTCATATTCGCCTGTCCCCTCAATCCTGAGCCCATTGTCGGTGTCTTTTTCAATGCTTCGTTACAGACCAAGTCCTGGCCATTTGCATTCAGTGATGTCCGGATTTTCAGACAGGCTGAGCAGGTAGAATTTGCACTGAATTGGTGGGTTCAGCTTTGAAGTCAGGCCAAAGAGTCGTATATATCTGTGAACAACGGCCAAACTGCAACGTGGACAATTGCATTCCGTCTGGCCGATTCCCCTTGTTGATTTAGAAATTATTCCTTTTTTCCATTTCCCTGCAAGAGTTTGGCACAGAAACGCTGCTCCAGACTGCCACGAGGAGGGCAGTTACATTTCAAGGAGAGAGGACATTAGCTGCAGAGAGCGAGTGCGGTTCTTTCGAGTGTTGGCTTGGAAGAAATATTCTGCATAAGGCATGAGTGATTATATCGATTTATACGGGTAGTGCCTTTATGCATGAAAATGTCAAGAGCCTGAAACAAGCTTTTGATACCAGAAACTCGAGAGGAGTAATTACCATAGACTCAAGTACATGTAATTTAATGATCGTGACCGAGACATAAGCTAGTGCTTTTTACGTATGTAAACTGAAAGTAGAATAACATGACTCACTAACAGAGTGCATAGCCATTGTATTTTCACACCCAGAAGATTTTTCCCCGTAACAATCTAACATCATAGGCAAGGTATTTTTAATAGGTGCTACAATAGAGCACAAATAAAAAAAAAGGAAATTCTTTATCACACCTCCTTACTGGAGGAAAATATTTGGAAAAATGCCGCCTGGCTTTCATCTGCTTTGGAGAGAGACTTTGCCTTGAACTAGGAGCTTGGAACATCTTTATAGCCCTCCACCATATTAAAAAGATGGTAGGGAAGGATGCTGAGCAATACAAAACGGAGCTCTACAGAAGTCAGAGAAGTTTCCAGGCTTCCTATCACAGAAGGATTTGGACCTGCTTCTGGCTTATTTAATCCAAACACAGCATATTCATCAGGACCTCCAAGGAAAATCTTATACATTTCTTCTGTGTTGGAAATATACTTGATATCTAGAATTAGTTTTACTTGAAATACCAAATTAGACAAAGAAAAGGAAACAAGGGTCTGCCTTTTTGGTATACACAGACAGTATTCAAGCGCATCGGGAGAGCATTTACAAAAGGCTTCATTGCCTGAACTCTAGATCTGCTAAATGCTTCTTCTGCTGCAAGCAATGGCAATGACTAAGCCTCAGCTATATTCCTTGTACAATGCTTATTTAATGACCTAAGGAATACCATACAAAACCTGAGGAATCTTAACAGCTGGAATGCCACTGTATGACTGAATTCAGACCATGAGAAGATAAGAACTAATTGGATATTGGCTGCAAGAAAAAAATTTTGAGTTGAAAGGTGAGGTTGGCAGCAGGGGGCTATCAGAAGAGAGTCCTACCAGCAGGATCTGTTGCCTTCATGTAGGAGAGCAGCGCGTCTTGGTGCGCTATGCTGTGGGGCAGGTATAGGCACACACAAGCACATGAACAGGCTGTGCACTGTTTTTGTGCTCCTCTGGCTGGTCCTGTGAAGAAACCCCTTCCTATAACCTGCTCACACAGAACAAAAAAATGATTCCAGCATGACTGCAAAGAGGCTGCATGCTGCCACGTCCCGTGGCCTGGTGTGCCCTGATTCACCTGGGCTTCAGTGCTTGGCCCCAGAGCCAGTCGTCATTTGACCCCCTGCTCACCTCAGCTGGACGGCGGGAGCAGAAAGGATGGACCAGGAGTGCGTGATGCCATCGCGCTGCCAGTCTCCATGCCCTCACTGCATTAAGGTGTCAAATTGTTGCTTCTGTCTCCCAGCATTATGCTGTTACACAGGAGGTGCAAAGGACTGAGCTGGAGGAGCGGGCTGGGAGCTGAAGAGCTTGTGGGGAGTCCCAGTAATAGCAGCCGACAACAGCTTTTCTGCTGCAGTGGTTAAAGGACTCCGTTCAGTCAGAGTCACTGGTGTTCCCCACAGCAGACTGAGATTTCTTTTGACACTAACCCAATCTTTAACTGAAGCTGGAAGACCTGGCCTTCAGGAACAGTGATTCAGGACAGCCCCTGCTGTGATTCAGCAGATTCATCAGGAACAAGACCACCAATGATGTTACGTCATTGCCTTTCATTTATGTATCATCCATATTGTAAATAGGAACACTGGTTTACCTCATCTACCTAATTTTTACACTCTGCTGCTGCAAAAAGATAGCCCTGTTTTGTTCATGGGCTACAGTGAGTGATCTGTAACCCTCGTGAACATTGGCAGCATGTGCCCAGCTGCTCAGAAAGTCGGGTCTCTCTAAATGCTCCACAGATGGATAACAGGGGCATGTTCAGTGCATTCCTAGTGCTGCTAATGCGAACAGAAATGCCCACTACAATGTGAAAGAGCCAAAAAAAACCCACAAGGTTTTCAGGTAACCCACAGTCAGTGGAGGATAACTTTTCTGAGGGACAGTTGAACCCTGTTATAGAGTGAGGGAGGTAGCTGTGGGTAGGGAAGGTGGTGGGAAGGTGATGTGACTCTCCCTTTGCCAGGAGAACTGTCACCCAAGGTTGTGCCAACACTGAAATTAGGGAGAGAGACTGCTGCTTAATCTTGCAGCCCAGAGGCAAGACAAGCCTGTGCCCCTTGATCTCCTTGGGCCCCCGTGTAGCCCTTAAACTACAATAGTTTTTTAAAATATTTTTTTGCATTTCAGAGCCTGAAATTATGTGAGGGCTGTATCATTGGCCCACCAGAGTGGTGTTTGTTTGGGTTTTTTGGGTGGGTTGTTTGGTTTTTTTTTTGTGGTTTTTTTTTTTTGTGCGGGGTTTTTTTTTGGTTGGTTCTTTTTTGGGGTGTTTTTTTTTTAGGGTGTTTTTTTGGTTTTGTAGCATGACATTGAGGGAGTATGTTGCTGGCCTGATGATGTGGCAGGAGGACCTGGAGAGCATTTGTGAGGGCAAAGGCTGTTGGATAACTCTGCAGGGTGGAGGGACCCATATCTGGCATAGTCTTATCCATGTGGCTTGTTGAGAGGTTGTGGCTGGCACATACTGTCCCATGCACAGCCCCAAAGCACGCCTGGGCTCTGGTTCAGAGCATGCTAATTTGCACAGCCCGAAACCCACAAAACTATAGACCATAGCTGCAGTGACGTACAGCTGATCAATGACCTGCGCTCAGGTCTGCTCCTTGTTTCCTTTAGGGTGTAAGTGGAGTCTAAAGGAATGGACCACTGAAATGTCGTGTGTTTGTTCCTTGTCCCCAGTCTTGCCTGGCCTCATGCCACATGATGTCGAATGGCTGAGTGCATGAAAAGGAAAGCAGGCACTGCGAGGAGAAAGCTGTCTCTCTGTCTCACCATAAAAAGATGTATGTGAAAAGGCACATGGCATGCTTATAAGCCAGGCCTTGCTGTTCTGGCATTATGTTTGCTAAACCACTGATGACAAATTTCTGCGTGCCAAAACCTCATCTGAAATGCACCCCAGATCACTGCTCTCAGATGAACATTTTGCTGGAAAACACCCGCAAATACAGAGCTTGCTATCTGCTGCCAAACACAAAGGAAACAAAAGTTTGTTCTTATAACTGTTAGTTACTCTTTATAGAAACTGCTTGCTTGTGTCTTTTAACCGTTTAATAATATATTCATTAAAAATAAAATATTGCAAAGGAGCACTAGCCCTGTGAAAGTCTTTAATGCACTTAAACACAAGACTACATTTTTTCCCAGTTGTATTAGCACTACTTGTGCTAGATGCCTGCTGAGCAATTTGTAGAACATTTACTGGCTTCAAGATTGGGTGGAAAAATCAGAGAGAGGACGTTCTGATTTACAAAGGCATTGAGAGCTTGGAAAAAAGTGGAAGACAATCTTACCTCCTGTGGTAAAACCCTCCTCAGTGGAATGGCACAGGGCAGGGAAGGAAGGCAGCTGTACTGAGCCAAGACACAGCTTTTTTTTGGCCACTTGGTGATTTGAACTAAGTGTGTACAGAAGTCTGCCTTTCAATGAACTTTACTGTTACCGGTTAAATGCTGAGTTTAAAATACCTAAGTTTAAAAAAAAAAAAAAGGTTTTATTTGTTTTTGTAAAAGCAGTTAAAAATTATCAACAATAAAGGAAAATGCACCACTTGCCCATTACTTTCCTTTGCTGTATTTTTTGGGACAGGCAGCAGCCCCAGCAGAGGTACAGCAGATGAGAGAGCTGGCCTAGCCAAAAAAATATAATGATTAGATCACCTTGTTGGATGCGAGCGACTGATCTGAATCAGTCTGAACAGAAATTTAAACTCTAGATGTTTCATGTACCCATAAAGTATTTACATAAACTTGGTGTTATGCTCTCTTCTTCCCTCCCACTGGAAAATTAGTCAACGCATAGGAGGAGACTGCAAACAAAGAGCAAGAGTCGTGCATGCTTCAGACTGGCTAAAAAAGGACCGAGGCTGAAGTCCTTGCCAGAGGAGTTAAGGACTTGAAGCTTTAGCTTCCACCTGTCAGGGAAGAAGCCCCAGCCACTACATTGTCCTGGGAAAAAAAAACCAAAAAACATTTCGCCCCAGCTTCATGCTGGGTAACTTTTCTTTGGCTCAGAAACAGAGATAAGTAGGGAAAAAAATGTATTCTTCCTCAGGATTTCAC